AGATCCACAACATCTTTTAGTTTTAAACATCATACCGAATTATAATTCTTAAAATAAACTATTCTATTTATAAATACTTTAAAGTTGAAGAGTAATAACACTCTTCCATAACTCTTATACCCGAATAGCACCATCGTCTCAACGTGAATCAATTGTCAGGTTCAAACTATTCCTGTAAGAGCCACCTCTGTCACAGTGCAACGTCACATTCTTGATTTTGCTGTTTATATCAGTTCGTGACCTTTTCACGGTTACAGCATATCCTTGAGTTATAGTAAAGGCTTGGACATGAGCAAGAAGCTCATTGTAACTTGCAAATTGACCGGATGGAGGTGAAAGCATACTTTAAATATTATGATGGTTAGCGTTTATATGATAATACAAGTGACAAAAGATAAATCTTTAATTCTCTCGAATTTTTGATCTCGTTAACGGTTTTAATCAATTATGAGATGAGCGATCAATAAATTTTAATCATAAAAGGGAAATGGGTATTGTGAAGGGTTTTGTGTTTGATTTAATACTAATTTACTTTAATTGCCTTCTATAGGAATTTTCTTTAATACGTTTTTCAATTACAACAAAACTTCAAAAGTTCTCGATCTTTAAACGATTATTAAATGGAAAGGTTGTTCGTATCTAGGGAGGTAAGTGAAATGGAAATTATGATGAAAAAGTATGTTTGTACACAAATAATAGTTTTACTTTCAAGGGTATCAAATACAATTCATCTTTTTTATCTCTAGTTATTTGTAATTTCACTAAAGCATTTTAAACATTTCGAATCATTCTTTCATTTTATAATTAAAATCACACTTCTAGACACATTAGTTTCCTTTGTTCATATCACTTAAATTATTTCGAATCATTTCATTTTATAATTAAAATCACACTTCTAGACACATTATTGTTTCCCTTGTTTATTTCACTTAAATTATTTAAAATTACATTACTAAACACATTATTGTTTCCTTTGTTCATATCACTTAAATTATTTCATTGTTTTCTTTGTTCGTTTGATAATTAAAAGTTAATAATTATTGCAAAACCTGTAAAAAGTGGTTATAGTGTAACTTGCATGTGATTGTTGTGGATCACGTGAACACGTGATTCTGAGTCAAGTGATTTGGAACGGTTATAGAACTGACCCAAACTGACCCGTTTTGAATCATGTGGAGGGGTGCCAATAACAATTCTCTATTTTTATTAGTATTAGTATTTATTAGAATTATTTAAAAATATAAAAAAATTTTGATAATTTGTGAATTAATTTTCTAAATATATTACAAAGCACAAAATATTATAATTAATAAGAATTTTTATATAATATTTTCAAATTATTACTTTTTTATTATTGTGATATCTATTCTAGTTCTTGTATAATTCATTCTAAATAATATATATTTATGTTATAATAAACTAGAATAATATTATTATGAGTTTTGGATTCTGATAGATATTCTTATAATATAAGTATTTAACCAATATCTATTTTTGAATTATTATTAAATTTAATCTTATTATTTTAAATTGATTTAATAAATATATTTTTGTTATTTATTTAATATATGAATAATCCTATAGTAATATAATATTAATATTCTAGTAATAATTTATATTATAATAATTTATAATTATAAAATCAATTAATATATAATTTTATTAAATAATAAATAAGAAGCAATTTATTAACTAACTAGATTTTGTACTGATCAATTAATATCTTTTAATTTATATAAAAAATTTTTTATTTATATAAAATATTTTATAATTAAGTTATTATAATATAAAATATATTATATATATAAGATAAATATAATATATTAGATATTTTAAACAAGTCAAATAATTCTGTTATTTTTGCAATTTCTATAATCTATATTTTTTTATGTGATCAGAATTAAAAAATTAAGAAATTAAAGATAATTTTATATTATAACAATATTCAATAACTTTATTAAGTTTATATATTTTATTTTAGAATTTAAAAATTATAATATAAATAATAAATCTTCCAAATAATTATCTTTTAAATTAATAATAATGATTTATTATAAGTAATTTATCTTTCAAGATCAAAAATCAATTATACAAGTTATTCTAATATTATAAAACTTATTGATTCTAAGTTAAGATATATAATATATTTATATAAATTACATGTTATATAATATTACTAATTTTGTTATTATTAATGTTAGCTTTATAATTCATAATTTATCAGAAAGTTTTAAAAGATATTAAATAATATCATAAAACATATTTTTTAATAAAAAGTTAGTTGTTCAATACTTTTATTTAATAAAATTAGTATTATTTAATATTAAATGCATTAAATAATATATTAGTTAACACTTTAATAAATATATTATTTAATACTTATTAATATTAAATAATACTAATTTTATTAAGTAAAAGTATTAAACAATAAAAAGATATTGAACAATATAGAATCAGGATTTTCAAACTTCTTGATAATTATTATTGTTAATTTAATTAAATATGAATATTACTAATATTTGAGTGCATCTATGTACATTCCAATACATTTTGATTAAATCAAATAATAATCAATAAAAATATATAATTTTTGATCAATCTGGCAAAACAAACTGATACAAAAAAATAAAAAATATGAGAAATGTAAAAAATACAAAAAATAAATATCTAAATTTGGTTTGAAATGCAAATAAAAAATATCAGAAAGACAATTTTATATATAATTTTGTTCTCTGTTTCTAATTCTAACTCTAATCCTAATCTTAAAATTATAAAATAAGAATTTATAATAGTATTTATAATTTAACAATATATTTATTATATATTAATTACATGTTCTAAAAATCAAATTATAGAAAATAAGAAATTATGATTATTAATTAAATTCTTTTGGTAACATGTTTAAATTTCAAAAATTTTAAATAAAATTATTGAATCAAGTTACATTTGATTATTCATTACTTGATGTAGTGCTTTTTCGCATTTTTATCTAAGAACCACTTTTCTGAGTAAAATCATAACTGTTTTTTGTAACACATCTTTTTTTTGGAGAGATATATACATCTTTTTGCAATGTTGAAATATAAGGTTGAAAATATATTGTATCTGATAGTAGTTATATAACAAAAGTCTTGTAAAAAAATATGATTGTTGCTAAATAATTTATACCTTACGCACACATTATCTGTTTTTGCTTGTTCTTGTCAAGTACAATATCTTAAAATAACTTTTATTTGAAATAAAATAAACTTGGTGATAAATTTTGGCATTTTGGTCCACTTGCAAAATTTTCGAGTGGTTGTAGGCCCACATGATCACCTGTGTGCTTAAACATCTTTTTAACGAAACATGATTGAACTTTATGTTTGGGGAGCTTGTTGGGACCTCCCTTCTGTTGATTCCGGATGTCTTGCTGTTATTACATATCTACAAATATTCGCTGCTGACGATTGGGGTCTTATCAAGTGCAATAATCCCGCTTTATCACCCACAGGTTATCTATCTCAGGAAATTTAAAAATTATACTTGAAATAAACTTATCTATCCTTATTTAGGAGAATTACCACTTTTGAAGGATGGAACGGAATGGTTTGCCGGTTTGGAAAACATTATTAAATATTTGAAAAAGAAGGTAGCTATCATGATTATCACTTATGTTAAGTCCTTTGATTTTTGTAAAAAAAATATGAACTTTTCAATTTGTTTTTGTTTAGGAAATAAATGGTGAACAACATTTGACAGTCAAGCAAAAAGCGGAGAGTCTTGCGTATGTTGTTATATTCTCATTCGAGTTGTATTTCCAAGATTTTATTCGCGGACCATTTTTTATTATTTTTAGATTTTTGTCACTTTTGCAAGACACTATATATAATGCCCTTGTATGTGATGCTTGATTTAAAGAATTTTGCTCCTATTATAACTTCCATTCACTTATACGCGATCGTTATTTCCAAGTTATTTTCTTGGTATGGCGATTTGAAAAATTTTGTCCAAGTGATTAGACCAATGTACGGGAAACTACTTCCTCTTAGCGTACGATATATTTTGCCGATCCAGATGCGGAACGTTGCCGAAGCGCGATTGGAAAAATATGGCGCATTCGAAAGTTTACATGAGGTTGACGAAAATCATAAGGTAATAACTAATTATAATTATTCTCGGAAGCATCTTGATTACTTCACTGCACTGTACATTTCCAAAAAATATTGAATTTCAGATTTATCAAATTGCAAGAAGATCTTATAAAGCACTTTCCGAGAAACTAGGGGAGAAAGACTACTTCTTTGGAAGTTCGTAAGTAACAAAAAATTAATTAGCTTTTTGTTTATTAGATTGCTATTCTAAAAACATATTCTTAAAGACCAACAACTTTAGATGCTATCGTATACGGATATTTAGCCCTTCACTTATATCCAGAGCTTCCCAGCCCGATCTTATCCGTTATCCTCAAAACAGAGTATTCAGGATTATCACGATTCTGTGACCGAATGAAGTCATCACAAATCTTACAAACACCGCTTAAAATTCTACCAGATTTCAGTCTTCCCTCATTGTTTACAGGTTTTCTATTATCGCGTCGAATATGGTTTATTAACAGATATTGGAAACCTGTTAAATCGGATAAATCAAAAGTGGAGAAATCACCTGCTCAAATAGATTTTGAGAGAAAGAGAACCATTGCTATTTGTGGAGCTATAATATTTATGACTGTTTATGTGATTTGGAACGGAATTATTACTATAGAGATTGTAGCTGACTCGAAAAAAGAAGAGGAGATTGAAAATCGTCACGAGGATAACGCGGACGGTTCAGAAAATGATGATTTTGATGATGATGATTTTGATGATGACGATTTTGATGATGAGTTTGATGTGTAAAAAACTTTATAGATCATGTAAAAATAAAATATAAGACTCGGTCATAAAAGATCTATTAAATTTAGTGTGTAAATGAATTACTTTGTGAAATCAAAAGTGTAATATATTACAAAAAGAACGTGATCCTCCGCACTGCAATAGCTTAAATTAGAGTTATCTATTATTTGTAATCTGGAAAATGCGATACTGATTGTTACGGTGAAATAGTCTATTGGTAAAATAAATATTTGTATATCAATTTCTGTTAGTGTTATCGATTTTTGATGTTTTCCCTTTGACTCTTCTCAACAATTTAATAAAAACCATTAACTTGTAATGAAAGATATAACCTTGGCCGAAATGTTAGCCAAATTTTCGTAAGTGAACGAAAATAGCGAGAAAAGGATTACATCAATAATACTCGAATATTTAATAATATAGATTTCGATTAATGGTGATGAGCTTCAGTTTCAGGGCTACCCACATAATCCATCTTAAATACACATCCGCATTCCGGACATCGGTCAAGCTCATGGTCTCGATCAATTACTAACCACAATGGTTCGTGAGAATCAGTAGGAAAACCTAAAGTTTTAATCGGTATTTTCATAGTCATAATCATAATCATAATCATAGCATAACTGGAAAATAATGGAGTATTTGGAAAAATATACCAACCAGTGCATCCAATTATTTTTGTATTATATAAACTTTTAACAAAGACTGGTTCCTTTTTTGTGCCCAAATGAGACATCGGTAACGAGTTCAAGTCAAACAACTCTTTGCCTTCAAGTTTAGCTAAAAGTTCGGCACGTTCAAGACCTGTCGCTTGTTCATAGTCGGTCGGAACAGTGCCGGGTTTAGCACCCGGGCCAAAGAGTCCTTTGCTTACCTCTATATATTAACAAGAGGAAATCAAAATAACATAAAGTTGAAAAACCTTTCATATCTATTCTATGTGTATTTGTAGCTTGTTTTTTTTTCTTACCGCTACCTTCTGAAGACTTGCGAGCTCCGTGTACTGAGAAAGCTCTAATAGTTGTAGGTGTGGCTAACTTTAAGTGAAAGCCTCTAAGAACAGTTCTTGCTGCTGCGCGTCGAAGACTGGAAGAAAACATGATTTGTAATTTTGGATAGTAGATCTTTCATTATCCTAAAATATGCCCATTATAGTAGATAGGCCTCTGACGAAGATAGCCTGGATTTTTATTAAAATTTTATTTATAAACTAAACTAAAAAAAAAAAAACAAAACTAATTATATGTGTACGATGGAAATTATCAATAATTTCTATCATACAAAAAGTTCACATTCTTGCCAGAAAGGCATATTTCCGTCAATTTCACTATTAATTAGATCCACAAGGGAACTATCTGCTAACAGATTACTATCAAATTCACCACCATTATCATCATCAGCTTGTTTTTGTTGTTGTTCCATATCCTGCAGTGCATTCGGATCAAGGAAGAGTCCCTCAAAGCATGAAAGTTGTTGATTTGCGATGTAAACTTTTGTATCGAGAAGGGACTCATTTAACGTAATTGGCGTGGAGATATCACTGCAAGAAATTGGTGTTTCGCAAACAGAACTATCAAGAGAGCATGGTGTAGCCGGCATTAAGTTGTTTCCGGACGAAGTGAAAAGAGAATTGTCAGGAATTGAAAGAAAAGGAAGTCGCGTTTGATAATTTGCGCTAGAGGGACTATTGTCGAAAACTATAACCTGCGATTCGTCATATGGCGTCGACACTAATGATGATGGTGATGAAGAAGACGATGATGATGATGATGATAATGAGAATTCATTGTTATATCTGCCACTGCGAGGTTTAAGATTCTCGGTAAATTTTGTTCGGTAGATGTCTACAGCCCGTTGAAGGAGACATTTTTTATTAGCTAAATGACGAGGATTCAGCCAAGCCTAATTAATCAAAAATATATAATGCATTTAATGTGAAGTTTTTATTAAAATTGAATTAATTATAATTTAAAAGTTACCAACCAATTTCCATGCTAATTCATTACAAGCAACTTCTTCATAATAACGACGACCCACGTAATGTTCTTGATCACAGAATGCTCTTGGGAATACACAATTATTTTTCTTGAACATGATATCGATATCATTTAGATTTACATCTTCTACATTGATCTTGATTCTGCACTTTACTCCTTTGACCACATTATCCACGATTAAGGTTTTTGGTTTCTGATTATTGGTGTATTTACGTTTTGTAGGTCGTGGCTCATTTTCTGGGCGGGAAGATTTACGTTTTCGTAATGTACCATTCAATACTTTTTCCTGCCGAGCTACTCGCCTTGATTTAGATCCTGGCTGCAAATTACGAAAAGTATCCACAGCCCTTTGAATAAGCCCGCGTTTTCCGCTCATTTCCTCTGGATTAAGATATGCAAGCATCCATCCTAGGACATTGCATTGAGTTTCATATACCCATCGATTACCTTTATAAAGTTCGGGGGAACAGAATGCGCGTGGATAGACCTGCAATTTAATAAAAAATATGTTATTAATTTACTCTTCTGAAATAATATACATCATAATACATACACAGTTGTCTTTTTTAAATTGATCATCAACGAAATTTATGTCGACTTTTTCGATATCAGTTCGAATTCGGTATGTTTTCATTACACGATGATGCGAATAATTGAATAACATCCATTGAATTCCATCTTTATATTCAAAGGGTATTTCAGAAATCACTGGCATGTTATTAAAATTAATACTAGTGTTATTTGTATTATTGTTGATATCATCATTTTGGTTATCATTAAGATACGATGCGGTGGCTTCATTATTATTTGATTGATTCTCAAGATAAACAGGTGGAGATTCAATAAAGATTTCGTTAGGTTTAGAGGCAATAAATTGATAGGTTTGATGATTGGCTTTATGATGTTGTTGTTCTGATTGTGTTGATATTAAGAATGGAACTGATTCTTGTTGATGGTGAGGATGATGTTCTTTTTGTTGAAACCCAAGAGAATATAGTTTATCAGTATTTTGTTGTTGTTGTTGTTGTTGCTCCACGATAAAACCATTATCAAGTTGGCTTATATTTTGCTGCTGATCCGCGATAAAACCATTCATCCCCTGTAATATTGGTGAAGTAAGAGCATTTGTGATATGATGAATTGGCAATGGTTGTTGCTCTTGCATTGCACCGAAATTAAAGTCATAGCCAGAAGAGATATTCTCAAGAAAAGCATCTTGTTGTTGAAGTTGTTGTATAGAATCTATCATATTATTATTATTATTTTCAGATTCGATCTTTCTAGAAGGAGCTACATTTCTTTTATAACCACCGATTGATCTGGTTTTGCGCGTTTTTTTATCAGTGCGGAATCCTTTAATAGGATGTTTTAGAGAACTCATTTTCTTCTTTTTAACTCTGTTCAAATTTTTCTCAATCGCGGTCAGTTGTTCTTGAGTCAATTTAGAAAATATATGCTCTGCCTTAGAAGAAGGGTCTAATAATTCCTCGAGCGTAATCTCGTGTAAGTCCTTTGGAGGCGTTTCCGGTCCGAATCCTTTTTCATTGAGAGTAGGAGTGGTGGTTATCTGCACCGGACACATGTTCAGAGTAAAATAACAGTTTGAATCCATTTGCTTGAGTATTCCCTTGAGGAAGTTGGTTCAGTGCAATTACACGTTCGAATAACTTCTAATGTCCAGAGAAATCTAGAGAAATGCCTTTATTTAGTTTTTATTTTTACGCGTTGTATTATTCGCGTGACACTCTCAACTATATAGAGTAAATGAGAGTTTTCTTTAATAGAGTAGAGGTTTTTTACGTGTCTTCGCAGAAGAAGGAGTAAATTTAATCGCGCGAAAAAATTTCACGTAATGATTTTATTGAAATATAAAGGGCTTTTATAAAATAGGAGCACACACGCGCACACTATTAAATGCTTGAATTTTTCGTGTCGATCTATAATTTCGTATGTGGCCAGAATTACAAACACATGTTAGCGCTCTAAAAATGTAAATGTAGTGTCGCGTTATGCATTGCATTATTAAATATAAATATATTAATGAATCACAAGTTATATTACCAAAAATGGTAATTTAGATCGAGGTTGACTAACAAACAGAGTCACTCGATTTTTCAATCTCTGATAAAAAGAGTTACATTAAGAAAAGAAAATTCTCATATCATATTAAAATCTATCAAAATATTTTTTACATAATTAATATTATTGTATTTGTCCACTACTAAGCCTTTTGCAAAATATAATTATGTGACATGATTGGTTTTATTCGGCGAAAAACACATGGTTGAAAATCCAAATAAAATAGAGTTTTATCAGACAATAGTTATTCTTCGGTGAGACATAAATCCTCTTTCTCTAGAGAAGTTATTTGAAACATCATTCAACAAACAACATCATTGTTATCAGTTCTATTTGAAAATGAGATGATGACAAAAATTACATGTTTATATCTGACATGCAACTTTTATTGGTATAGTACCAGTACACTATATATCAAAATACCAAAGTGTATCGCTAATTATGAACTTTATAACTTTTACCGAACGAAAGCTTTCAGTTCAGAATATAGCCAAATCCTAAAATAAATATTTATTTATGTTTTATCTCAAATATCGTTCAAATCAAAACTATACTTTTTTATACGTTAATTATACATTATAACAAACACTCTTAGTTCCATTAGAAAAATCGTCACTACATTATATCGAGTAAGACATATCGACATGTCGTTAATATCATTCAAATGTTAATGTTAAATTCAGCCACTCTGATTACCAGGCCATTCTAATTTCTTAATTATCGAGCATTTTAATATTCCAATAATTATTTTAGTATTTAATAAAATAATATAAAGAATTTTGTATAAAACGAAAAAGTCAATAGAGTAATTATAACTATAATTTTTTATAATTACCTAAGAATAGATAATAGCCTAACTAATAATTATAACAGATATAATTATAAGCAAATGTGATTATTTAATCTATTGCTACAGTAATAACATAAAACCCTTTAATTAAAGAATTTTGATTTAGCCAATCAAAAGAAAATAACATGGTGTAATTTTAAAATAATCTCATCGATATATTAATTGTGCTATGACTATTTTATTTTTATTTTTTTATATTTCAAAATTATTAGTTTTAACATTAGTAAAATCTTTTAATTTTTAATTAAATAATTTTAAAAAAATTTTAGATTTAAGCTTTTATTTAATATAATTTTTACAAGTATAAAAATATATAATTGATTTCAAATATAATCAAATGCTTTTATAGTTACAATTAGCATGGAAAGTAATGGCGAACGTGTTTTTTGCTTATATCTTAATTAGGAAATTTTTAAAAGTCATGAAAATTTGTAGATATATTCTTTAGGATGTTAAGAACAAGATTTCTTAATACCATAAAGCACATTAGCATAATAATATTTTACAAATTGTAATTTTTAACATTTAAGAAGAAATAAAAAATTATTTAAAAATATTTTAATAAGAAAATTTGAAAAGAATTTTATGAAAATATATTTGGTGATATAAAGAATATTTTTTTAATTTAAAAAAATTTGGTTCATTTTATTTAATAAATGTTATTTAAAAAATATTGTATTTTTTTAATAAATTATAGTAAAAATAAGACTTATTATGTTTTATTGAAAAAATTCATCAAAATAAAATCTTTTTTAAATAATATTTATTAAATAAAATGAACCAATTTTTTTTTAAATTATAAAAATATTCTTTATATCACAAAATATATTTTTATAAAACTATTTTTAAATATTAAAAATTATAATTTGTAAAATATTATTATGCTAATATGCTTTATAATATCAAAAAATCTTGTTTCTAATATTCTAAAAAAATTTTATAACTTTAAGAATTTTTTAATAAAAATATAAACAAAAAACATATTTATTATTACTTTTTGTACTAATTATATTATTCTTTAAAAGCAAAATTTAAAAATAGAATGCATAATATTATTAAGTTATAAATTTTCATTTAAGAACTAATTAAATTATTTGATTTTTAAAAATTGAATAATTTAATTGATTCTTAAATAAAAACTCTGTAACTTAATAATGTTATATATTTTATTCTTGATATTCTTGATAATTATAAATAAATATAATTATAAAAGATTTTTTTATTATATTTATATATAATAATAATAAAAAATATAATAATATTAAATTTTATTAATAAAATATAATAAATACAAATTTTTCTTTTTATATGAAAGTTTTTAATTTTATTAATAAATATTATAAATTATTGTGAAATTTAATTATTATAAAATTAATACTACAAATTATTATATATTATAATATAAACTTTTATTATATTAATTATTTTATATTTTATTGAATATTTTATATTATAATATTATTAAATAATATTTATTAATATATTATTGAATACTAGTTAGAAAAAATTTTATTAATTAATATTAGATAATAGAACAAAAGCAATATAATTATAGCAAATTAACTTAATGATTTTAGCAAAATTAATATATGAATTATAATCAAATAAGTAATATAATTATAACAAAAACAATAATATAATACTAACAAAATAAGTAATTAAATTCTAGCAAAATTAGCAATAATATTATAACTAAAATAGTATTTATAAAATCATCAAATATTATAAAAGTCATATAACTTAACTAGCAATTTAAAATTTAAGTTTGAAATAAATTTCTTAATAAACTTTAAAAATAACTTATAAAAATAACTCAAGTTATATTTTATATTGATTTTAATTTTAAAAAATAAATTACTTATAATAAATCAATTTATTATTTGACTTAAAAGATAATTACTTGAAATATTTATTGTTTTGAATTATAACTTTTGAAATTATAAAAAAATTATCTATCGTTAGTTATAATTTTTAATCTTTTTCATTATAAAAACTTAAGTTTTTTTCATCTTTTAATTAATAAAAATATATTATTATAAATGAACTTCTGAATAGATATTCTCATAAAATATATATTTAATTAATATCTATATTATTTATACTTTGTATACTTAATCTTATCAGATTATATTACTACATAATGTATCTTCTTTTATTTGATAAATAAATTTTTATTATTACTAATAAATAATATATTGTTATTCCAGTTCTTTTAATAGTATTTGTATAGTAAAAGATCTTTAAATAAATTTCTTTTTACAATTATAAGAGAAGATAATATATCAAGTTAAGTTTATTATTAAGAAGATTATATATTATAATTATAATAGATTCAAAATAATTTTATTAACAAAGCTTTTTTATTATTATACTTTTTACTATTGCTATTTCAATCAATATTCTACAAATAGATTATACAAGTATTGTTACCGTTTTCATTGGTTTATTAACTTTCAAGTATAGATCATGTATTTTTCATGTGTTTCAATTAAGTGGAAAAGTTATTAAAGATTTTTATGTGTTTTAAAATAATTAAGGTTGAAAAAGATTAATTTAACAAAGATAGATAATGACATTGTTAGAGATGGCGCAGCAAGTATGTGACACTTATTTGTTACTTGTTGCAACACATTGCAACTCCAAAATTTTATAAGCTGCAACTAGTTGCAACTAGGTGATGTTTTATTTGTCACCACGTTATAACAGTTGTCACGCCTAAAGATGGTGCAGCAAGTATGTGATGCTTATTTGTCACCTGTTGCAACACGTTGCAACTCTAAAATTTTATAAGCTGCAATTAGTTGTAACTAGATGATATTTTATTTGTCACCATGTTGTAACAGTTGCCATGTCATCTTTAGTCACATCATTTTTAGACATTGTCATGATTCAGATTTTTGATAAATGTTATCATGACATAGGTGTTCGACCAACATCTAATAATGATAATTTTATAATTACTCGATTTCATCATAAAAGTATACTTCAGGATCACCACACAGTACATTTTCTTCTATCTTATAGATAGACTCTCTCTATTACTAATAAATATTATGTCTACTTAGTATAGAATAGTCCTATAATAATACAGTACTAATATTCTATAGCAATTTTGGCAGTTATCTAATAGTGCGTAATAAATACAAATATTTTAATAAGTTATTATTCAATCAATTAAATATACAAATTTCATTAATAATAAACAAGAAACAATTTATTGACTAGCTAGATTTTTGTATTAATCAATTAATATCTTTTTTAAAGCTTCAATTATAATTTATTTATAGTAAATATTTTTCACTAATAAATGTTACATTTATAATTAATTATATAAGTTGATAAATAATAGATACTATGTAAATGATGATAATTACAATAATTGTTGTAAATGATGGTAATTACTGTAATTGTTATAAATTATAAAAATTATAAAAGTTATAGAAATTATGAAAATTATATAAATTTTCAGTCGTAAGAACATGTTGAGCACATAAAAAGATATAATATATTTGAAATCCAAGTAAAATGATGATATTATAACTAATACTAAAATTTGATTAATGCTGAAATTAATGAATAAAATTAGAGAATAAAAATTGATTAATATAATATTATAATTTTAATAATAATCAAATTTCAGCTTTAACTATTATAATAATTATAAATATTATAAAAAATATTATAATTAATTATTAAAAATCTATTAAAAAGTATTATTAAATATTATTTTTAAAAATTTGTAACTTAATTATATAATTTGTTATTAAAATATTAGTTTATTAGAAAATATACAAAAAATTTGATGTTATTAAATTTAATTTACTATTAATTAAGTATTTATAAAACAAATTTACAAAAAAATAATTTGTTAATTTTAATTATAATATTTAAATATTATATATAATAAATATGTCTAATTATTTAATTCTACAAAAATATAGTAAATATATCAATTTAAATAATAATATAATTAAACAAATAAAAAAACTTAAAATTTATTATATAAATTTAATGTATTTTTAAATAAATATTTATATATTTAATTAATATATAATTATATAATATAATAATAATAAAAGAAATATATTGTGCAATATTAAATAAAAAATATATATATAAATTTGTAATTAAATTTATAATAAATATATATTAAATATAATTATCAAAAAATTATATTTGAATTTGTATTAATTTTTGATTATTATAATAAAAATTTAATATTTATATTTTTTCAAAAATAATTATATTTTATTATATATATATAATATATTATTATATCTTTAATTCTTATTTTTATTACTATTAAATTTGAAAGTCTATAATACAGTAACTAATAAAATTATGGATCATATGTGTGATTTTATAAAATATAGTAAAAATTAAAATTTTTATTATATAAATATTTACAATTTTATTAATAAATATTTTTTTATTTTTATATCAAAATAAAGATTATAAATTATAATTTAACATATATTTTTTCTGGATTTTTTCTGACAAAGTTGTTTTAATTACAAAGTTATTGCAAAATTTTTAATAATTAATTTTACATTTTAATTATAAAAAATTTTTGCAATAACTTTGTAATTAGAACAACTTTGTTAGAAAATAATCTAAAAAATCCAGAAAAAATATTAATAAATTTGAAAACTTTTATATAAAAAAATTTTAATTTTTACTATATTTTATTAATAAAATTGCATGTATAATTCTATAATTATGTTAGTTACTGTATATAATAAATTATAAAATTCTTTTTTAAATTAATCTAAAATTAATAAAAAAATATTCGTTATAAAAATAAATTTACTGCATCACAAGTATTTTTTGAGCAACAAAGACTTATCGCTTCATGAAGATCTTTCATGGTTCCGAATCCATATCGATAGCAATCAATAAGTTTACGTGATGCTACTGGTTCAGCTTCTAGATGTGAAAAGACCGCTCTTTGCAGCCAGCAAAACATTCTACGCTTATCTGCACCACTAGTTCCAACACCATCTTGATAATATTCAGCCACCTTAATTTGTGCAGAAATACTTCCACCCTCTGCAGCTTGTTTCATCCAATAGAAACCCTTTGCAGTGTTCTTCCGAACCCCATTACCACCAACATACTGCAAAGCAAGCGTAACTTGTGATTCGAGATCACCCGTGGCAGCAGCTTCACAATACCAAAATTCAGCCAACTTTTCGTTTTGTTCTGTCCCAATGCCTTCTATATAACATCTTGCTAGATTCCTGCGTCCTGTTGGAAGACCAAGGTTTGCTGATTTCCGATACCAATAAAGGCATTTGTTATAGTTGATTGATGTACCAATTCCATTCTCGTACGCGTATGCCAGATTATTTTGCGCAATTGGCAGCCCTTTTTTTGCCGCTTTCTTATACCAATGTAATGCTAGTTCGTCATTTTGCTCGGTACCGACACCATTTTTATAGCAATAGGCGACTTCATATTGTGCTCGTACATTATGACCATATTTTGCTGCCCGTTGATATATTTCAAAGGCACGTTTGCGATCTGTTTCCGTTCCAATCCTCCAGTAATAAAAAAACGCAATTAATAACGAATATTTGAGATGATTTTCATGATACATGGAACAAAGTTGGTCGAAGATAAGCTTCGGGTCAAATTCATTTCGCTTTTCAAGCCATGTTTGCATTTGATCCAAGATTTTTAGGTCGTTGATGGTGCGTTTGTGACCGTCCTGCAATATCAGCAATAATGCTTTGACAGCATTTCGTAGCTCCTTTTGTTGTCGTTGTTCACCGAAGTATTTTTTCGAATTTAGTTTTTTCTTGATGTATCTCTGAAATGAGAATTTCATTTTGTCGAATGTATTTACGAATTAATGAAAACTAATTCGTTACTGGTGTTCAAAAAAGAAGCAAGTAATAATGTGTTAATGTGACACAGCAGTGATTACGTATGTACCGAAAAACAATACGTAAACTCACTTTGGAGATCTAAATTGGAGGGTATCTTATTTTCGAGACTGTCGAGGAGACAATATTACGCATTCTTATCATGTGATCAGGAACCAACAAACAGAGGGGTTTCTTATTTTCGGTACTTGCTGTTTTCTTTCCAAAATGTGAGTTTCTTTATTATCAGTCATATACATTACTTATTGTTTATTGCCTGAGAGAGATCTAAATTTCGCTATGTAGTTTTCAAAGAAGAAATAATTTAAAACAAATAATGATAATAATGTTAGAACGTTCTGGTTCTTTAACTTGTCGATATGAAAAGGCTGCACCTCGTAGCCAATAAAACATTTTGCATATATCTCTTGATCATCCAATAGAAACTCCAACCTTCAAATAACGTTTAGCAAGTGATGCTTGTGGATAGAAATTGCCGCGGATGCGGCACCTTTTTCGGTTTCAAAGCCCTTATAATAGCATTTTGCGAGACTATTATATGTTTCCGGAAGGTTGTTTTCTGATACCAATAAAGGAAAGGCATTTCTTATAGTCATTTAATGCACCGGTCCTTTCTCATATGTATATTCAAGACCACATTACGCAACTGCCTGTCCATTTTTGGTCGCCTTTTCATGCAACACCACCATAGCTCGTATATCGTTACTCTCTTCTGCTGCCCTTTTAATCGATTCAAATGTTCGTTTGCAATCTTTCTTTTGTCTCGATTTCCAGTAATAAAGAAACGCAAATAAATAAATGATATTGTTCTTGTACCGGAGTGAAGTTGGTTTTTGAAATATTTCTTCGATCAACTGTTGATGTCTTTTCAATACTATTTTTTAACGCCGAATTAAAATTTTGCTGTTATCAATTGAAGATATCCGCCACCGTAAACGCTATTTCTGTAAATTTCGTGTATTGGGATTATATCAAAATAATCAAAAGAAAGTAAACTACATATTATTGTAGAGCTCTATTATCCTCTTCCTATTGTACCCTCCCGAGTAAAGTATCCCATTCTCCACTAATAAAATCGCCGAAACCGTGAATAGTATCAGTACCATTCAATGTCAAAATCATTCTTTTTTGATAATACGGGGGTATTATAAGCAGTGCTCTACGGTACCAGCTATCTTCCTCATTCTTAATTAAAGAAAAATCACACAATATTTAAATTCATGTACATGTGTTCTTTGCACTAGTTGTATTTAGTATTAATAAAACAATGTATTTGAGCTGGCGAATTTCGCGAATAAAGATATAGGCAATATACACTCATAAATACGTTCCAAAAGCTTTAAACGATTAAATAATTCAAATATCGATATTATCTGAGAATATTAGCACCACCTTTAGTAATAGCAATATCATGTGTCACGCAGAATCTCGTACGAAAATTCAATGAAACGTCATCTTTAAAGGTAGAGATGCTGGAAAACGCACTAACGCTCGCACCAACACTTAAATTCTGTCTACTTGATTTGGATTTACGTGGGGTTGGTGGATTAAATATTGAAGCGTCATTAGCGTTAGGTGGTCCAGGAACACAAATACTTCCTCAATTGATTATTCCGATCGTGCACCATTTTTTGGATTTGTGACAGGTTTGGGAACTGCAAATGACAGTACGTAATATCAGGTAAAATTTCAAAATATCAATATCTTCTACAATACTCTGAAACGAGATATTTCAAAATTGGTGCGTCAAAATCAACACGACAATTTAATTTCGGTCCATTTCTTGGGTTTGACAATCGAACCTCTACGATAAATAATCATATTCTACTGCAAACATCGCTATATTTTCGTCAAAAAACCACCGCAATCGAAACAACGAATAGAACAAATAGCATACACAGGTCACCAATTTCGTTTTTTAAAATCGTATACCGATATGTCGTACTAATTGCTGATCTCCGGAAAACAATCACCGAATTTATTTTATTACAGGGAAACAGGTGAAATCGGAGATTCCACTTTTGTTGATTAAAGGATTGGGGATTGCAACAACTTAATCATAAGAGGAAATAGTTTATAGTGAGGATTTCGGATCTACATTATTGTTTCACAAAAAATCTTGAATTAATAAATTAGCGGATCGCACCCCAGCGCTGCATGTTTTACGTTTCACCACATTGATGTCATCATCATCATCGATAATACCTTAGATTTTTGATCTACCATATTCATGTTCAGTATCGCAACTGAAAATGCGCAGTTTGTTTGTTAACTTCATAGTTTGAATCCAAAGTGATGTACATGTGTAAGAAAGAATGTGCATGTATCTGTAATACGTACGTAGTTATATTTATAGCTTATAAATAGGAGTTTGAAGTAAAATTTGTAGTTCAAACATTATCACTCGATTAACACACACGCTACTGTTACCACTGACTGTTCCTCTGGATTTGAATATCGATATCGATACTACATAAACCATTTTTTTTGACTCAATCGAGTACATTTCTGTCTATCTATATTCGCAAAGTATCCATGAGTAACGGAAGAAACGCATATCAAAAGCAACAATATAAACACTATAACCAAAAACAACAAGATGGATACCAACAGCAAAAAACGCCGCCACAATGCTATGTAATCGACCTTGCTCGATGCTACATTGAATATGAAGACCTGCAAATTCCACATCATGTACTCTTCTGGGGCGACCACACGAAAGTAGCAATGGTCGTTGCATTCAACACACAAACCTTGTCAATAATTACTAACAATATGCGAGATGAAATCATGATTCCGTTTAGTGAAATTTATGGATTTGACCCTAATCGTGAAAAAGGATTTTGGATTAAATTGAAACCTGATTTCGAAAGAAAGGTACTTTATAGATTATAAATATATTAATTTAATAGTAATACTAAAATGCAAAAAAAAAAATTATAGTTTTATTATCATCCACGCGGTTTCAACCGCGGAAAGAAAATTCCTTGTGACGAAGAGAATCGCATTCGAAGTTTCTTTGAGGGCGCAGAGGAATTTAATGTCATTGGATGTGAATGGGTAAACGAAGAAGACATGGCGACTATTGGTAAAATGATGAAACAGCACATTGGTGATCGTAAAGGTAATAACGATAAAAATACACTACCGTTACATTATATATTTAAAGTTTCTTCATTACAGATGAATGGAACGACCCAACTGTAATACAAACAATGATGCAAACTAACAACAGCGGACTTGCACGCATAAACGCAACATTCGGCAATCAATTATTCTTCCCATTCTCTAGTTGTAAATTCCAAAAAGAGAGTTCCTTCAGTTTCCTTCGCTCCATGTGTGATGATGACATGGGATTTTTAATTCGTCCCGAGTCCCGAGAAATTAGTCTCTTTGTGAATTTCCTCGAGGATGAAATTTGCATCCCCTTCAACCAAATTATCGATGTTCAAGTTGAATTAGACAATAAAATTACTCTAAAATTTAGAGATAATTTTATTCGGCGTGTAAGTGAAATTACTTTTATAAAAATATTTTTGGGCTTTCTTTCTTGCTAAATAATAATTTCCTTCTTGTTTATTCAGTACTTGAAACATCAAGATGGATTTAATCCTGCTCAGCCAGGAATACCACTCTCCAAAGACCCGACTTTCGGGAACAAGTTTGCATCAAACAATCTCATCTCCATCGTACCATTGCCAAAGTACAACGCTGACCGCGTCCAAGAAGTGATCAAGGTCTTGTATAGAATGCTAGGTAAAAGTGTTGGAGAAACGCTGCCAGTTACTTTGAAGCTCCCGAATGCCAACACGATGATGCGAACCGAATACATGGATAATATTTGCGTGAGTTTTCCTTCCTTTCTTTAATCCGTCTCAATGATTTTATAATTAATCGATTTCTTTGTTATTTAAAGAATTCTGACATGCAACAGCTTTCACTTGATATGAGTCGTAATCTCAAGATTGACGCATATCGATAAATATCAAATGTTTGTCGCGAAACAACACAGGACTCACCCCATTCGATACTAGACATAATCTGTTTTTATTTATTACTAACTTCTCTCTGTTTTACTTATTTCTCTGTTTTGCTTTGTGAAATTCGATTATTAATAGAAGACATACATTATTCATCATTCGGGAATATTGATACATATAAATAAATGAGCTTACAATCAATGAATTGTCGATTGTACTCAAATGATTTTTACCATTAGATTAGCGTTAGGTTCGTGAAAAATACATGTATAATTCTTCTCCGAAAATTATAATTTGCAAAGAATCAATTAAAAACCCATCATCACGTTACCAGAACAAATACATGTATATGCCATACTCATACCGTATTTTGCGGACCAAAATACCCCTCCATAGAAAATTAACTCTTTATTTAGTCCAATTTTTTTTAGTAAAACCAATTATTTTTCAGAACAATGAATAAAACAAGATTCACAGTGTAACTTCACCAAAAATTTGCGTTACTAAAATAATAGCTTTAAGGTTAAGGATAACGATAACGATAAATTAAACGTAAAAATTAAATTTTCTACAGAGGGTGGATACTTTAATCCGTAACGGTAATATCCAACTTCAATTAACTAAAAATGAAGCTTCACGTTTGACTAAATTTCAGTGGGAAAAAACATTTTCAATTTTGTCTTTTCATTATACCACATCCATCTTCCTAGCGAGAGTACCAATCAAACACCACCACCACTAATCCCAAAACAATAACGATAACAACAATAATAACTCTGTTATCCAAATGGTAATATTAACGCTAATCGCGGAAATGGGTACCGATACAAAATGAACCAAAGCAGTGTTTGTCCTATGCAGTACTCTAAAAATATTTTTTCTCAAACAAATCGAGAAATTAAAAAACTTTTGGCGCATGGATTGCCAATGCACCAATCTTTGGCGCTTTGGCCATACCGAGGCGAGAGGAATAACGATAAAAAAATTGTTTTATATGCAGTACATATTTACAATAAAGAACTCGTATAAAAAAATTTATTGTACTTATAAAATAAGGTTACCATTACTAAATACATGTATCAATATTTAGGGATATAAAATATGAGAAATATCAAGTATACATGTAATCTCGATAAAATAATTTAGAACAAAATAAAATGTAAATTTAGAAGGCTAACACCACCACCGTTAAACCAAAGTACGTAATCAGAAATTTATTTAGTAAATTTGGTTATCGATGCGGGCTTAACGTGTATAAACGTAAATGATCAAAAGAGGTTTATTGTATCAGTTTTTTCCAATGTTTTAATTAATACTTCGGTTTAACGGGTTTAATTGGATTGACATATCGATATTGATATCGATATAAAATAAGGAACCATGATTCGTATCCTGGAATACGTTGAACGATAGTGATATCGATATATTAAGTTGGTGTTTGGATTAGGGTATAACGTTTAACGTTAGGAAATTACGTGATCATTTGCCTTTAAAATAAAGATCATTAACAGGTTACAAAGTTTTTTGATATCCAATTACATGTATTTAAATACAGATATTCTCATGAAAATCGATAACGATAATACATGTACCTATATACGTAAAAATGACGCGCTATCGCTATGGCAAAAATTTTACTAATTCAGCAATTTTCAAATTAAAAAACGCAGTTGGCGTGCACGCAAAAAATCATTCATACTTGCCTATTTCAATATAATAATGAAATAATTAATTATACAAAGTTATGAAGTTAGAATTAATATTGATTAATAAGATTATTAAGTGAGAATATTGGCGTTAGACTATTTGTTTATACAGATCCGGGTATAATTGATTAAAACTAAAATTAACACACAGGGGGTACTTCAAATTTGTTTTAATTTTCTAAAAAATGGAAATTGTTCTTTGTAAAATACAATACCGCTGTAATGATTCATTAAAAAAATATACATTTTTCGTAACGTTATATGATAATATAATTTCTATGGCAAAAGTTATGTCACTGGCGCTGCAGCTAGTGGATTAATAGTATTCAATTATAGTATAATAAAAAGCGCCGAGTAAATGTGCAAGTTTAATATACGTGATAAAGCATGATATATGCTACTGATTAAATTCTCGCGCAAAATATATTCAAATAGGAACAAAATAATAACACCTGTGAAATACATTATAAATAACAAAGTCAATAAAGTATAAATCAAAGCAAAATAAAATAAAATGTCCAATATTATCCATATCAAGTCTGAACCTGAAGACAGCAGCATAATATTTATAAAAGAAGAAGAAATCTCCAATCCAAATTTCTCATCATCATCTTCCACAAATGTTAAAAACGAATTAATTGAGGTAGATTCGGATTCGGATTCGGTGCAACTGTCAAGTCTGCAAAGTAGAAGAGGTGGTTGTGTGAGGCAACCGCTGATAAGAAATCATCATCGTCAACATCAACACCACAACAACAATAACAGCGATAACAGCAATAATAATAATAATAACAACAACAATAATAATAATAATAACCCCAGAGCGCGTGGAAGATTATCTACGAAATGGACTAAACAAGTAATTGACTTTAAAACAACATGTGTTTTTATTATTCATAAAAGTAAAAAATTATTTATAAAAATACAGGAAGAAAAAATCCTACTTGATGCTTGGAAATTGAATCCACCTAACTTTAGCAATCTTACTTTAGATTTACCCAACCGAGATCGTAGAAATATCAAACGAAAGTTTGATAAAATGGTTGCGACGATATACAATCATTTCAATCTTGAATAGCTGCAGTCTTAATTTATATTTAGCGTTAGAATGTTTAATTTATTATCTACAAATGCTATCTAACGCTAATGTCATGTACATGTACATGTTCTATTATTGCTATATATGACAGCTATTTACATGTAGAAAATCCAAAAAAAAAATCAGCGTTAGTAAATAAAAAGATTTAATCTCTCAATGTTACAATCATCATCTCCTTTTTCTTCATCCTCATCCTCATCATAAATCAACTTTTTTGCTCTATTCCAACTATCTTCACCATTCACTTCAAAGACTTCAGCATATTCATCAGCAACCCAAATTTTTTGTTTGTTGTCTGTGTGTTGTTTGTTGCTGAATCTAATCTTGATAGTTAATAGCAGTTGTGCGAATGACGTGGCTTTTTGACAGATAATTTGGCGTCGCTCAGTGTCAAATATACAGCAAACGATAAACTGTAGATTTATTAGATTTTTTGAAAACACGAATATTAATCCTCTCAACTTATACCTACCAATGATCCTTTTTCTGTGTCGTGGTTATTGTTATTGTGGTGGTGGTGGTGGCTCCAACGCGCGCTATCACCCTCTCTTTCGTCATTATTACTGTAAGTGCTTGCTATTTTACATGAGCAAATCTAAAGATGAATTAAATTGTCGTAAATCATCGTTAGATTATAAGAATAAAATTGAATTTACCAGCATACATCTCCGACAGAATCTGATTCATAGCATTTTGTGTTTTAAGAAAAATACCAATTGGTGTCCAACAACATGAAATTACATGTAGTAATTGTGCTTTCTCAAATTTCAGCTTAAACTTTTCGATATTGGGTGCAATAACAGAAGGGTGGTGATGGAACTATCAAAATATATATATATGTTAACCACACCGATAAAAATGAGCGTTATTATATTTCGTTTGTTACCGTTTTTTTGCAGTTTGGTTTCAATGTAATCCTGAAACTCATCTCACTGCCTAACTTGAATGCGGAAATGTCGCTAAACGGGATATGCACCTCATTTTTGTGCATAATAATAGATAATTCGTGATTCACGAAATCTAATTTCATGATTACTTTGAACATAGCAGACCAGTACAGCATTCTTCTGATGGTGTGACTTTCTTCCACGGAGCATTTGTACACGTCGATTTTGATAATTGACGGGATGGGCATATTTAGTTGTAGTTGTGTGTTTTCTTTCGTACAGTCAAAATTAAAAATAGTCTAAAAGGCAAGAACAGGCCACGATTATCATTATATAAAATTCAAGACGAAATAACACGTAACGAATACACGTTTTGCTTTATTATACAGGACAGGATATTACGAGTACGTATATCACGTTATACGTGTTTACACGTTAATAAATGAATCAGACTTTCCGAAGATCATTGTCATTGTCATTGTCTCATACAAAAATATACAATCATGGTGTCACAATCGTATTGACTCAAACAACTTCTTTGACATCATTGTTCAGCTTTTTCTTTCTTCTTTCCATCAAGATGAAGATAAACTCGTGTCTATCAACCTTATTCCTCACGTTACTGGTGGTTATTGTTGTTATAGGTAGCGGTGATGCTGGTGCCCCTACAACCTCTGAGCCTATTCCATTGACATACAAAAGTTTTACGAAAAAAATTTCAAAGGGTACCTGGTAAGAATTTGGTGACTGTTGTTGTGCATTTGATATCATGGCCTGTGCTGTGCTGGTAATAATAACAGTTATTTTTAAAGGCTTGTTAATTTCATGTCTCCGTATTGTACGCACTGTCTAAAACTTGGTGAGAAAATTTTTTATTTATTATTCAACCCTATCGTGCCATTTTTAACAGGAAACTCCACGTTCTGCTCAATTTTTTTTCATTGTTAAAAAGAACCAATATGGAAATCGCTTTCCGAGAAATATGCACCTCTTCGTAAAACACACAGATTCTTTATTGCCGAAGTGGATGTCAGTCTCTACGGAGGTGTGATTATTTAACTCGTTCATTCGTTCATTCAATGCACCATTCTTTTCACGTTTTAATATAATTATTTATCTTAGATCTCGCAGAGCAAAATGAAGTGAAAGCAACTCCAACATTAATTTTGTAAGTTGCATAGATTTATTGTTTATTAATTTTGTTTGATTGGACAGAAATTTCAAGCACATCAATACAATCACGTCTCATTATCAAAGAATCATTGATCAAACGCATTATTTAAACACACATACAAAATAATTCAACGATTTAATAGTTGGTTTGCTCATTGAAACTTATACTATTTAGTGCAATACTTTATTTACCACCATAACAGATACAATGATGGCAAAAAAATCGAGAAATACCGTGGCACACGAGACTTTGACCCTCTCTCGAAATACATTCTACAAAAATCTGACGAATACAAAACTTCGGAAGATCCCAATGCACCAGAAGAGGATGACGATGACGACGAAGATAAGGATGCTCAAATCGAAACCGATTCACCGCCAGAACCTGAACCACAGTTTAAGAAAATTACAAAGCCGTCTGTGCCGCCAAATCAAGATGGAAAAGTTGTGGTGCTTGGCGCTGCTAACTGGGATTCGATTAATGATTCGGGACCCTGGTTTGTTGAATTTTTTGCTCCGTGGTGTCCGCACTGTCAGCATTTGGCTCCGATTTGGGAGGAATTGGCTCCAAAATTAGTAAACAAAATCAATATTGGAAGTGTTGATTGTACCGTTGAAGGAGGTTTGCATCTTATTCTTTTTACTTATTTTATTTCCATCAAATTTGTAATATTTCGCGTCTTGAACTCTTTTATATAGATCTTTGTGGTCAATTTGAAGTTCGTGCATATCCAACATTAAAATTGTAAGTTGGCTCTCTTTCTGTATACCGAGTTCTTTCTTTTTTAATTCATGTTATCTATGAATTTTATAGATTTATGAATGACGATGTAATTGATTATAAAGGGGCTCGGAAACTACCGGAGCTCCTTGCATTTGCAGAAAAGGCTGCATCGGCAGGAATAATTGAAATTAATGCCGACGAATTCGAGCATACAATGAAAAAGAAAGATGTGTCGTTTCTTTATTTGTATGATGAAACAACCCAAGAAGATTTTTTGGTGGGTGATGGTTGAATTAATTTTTTCTTAATAAATTGTTTACTAATCTGTTGTATATCTCAATAAAAGGATATAATCGAATCATTAGCCCATACTTTCTTCTCATCTGCTAAAATTTACTCTACCAAAGACCCACAACTCGCTCAGGAGCTCAAAGTCTACCAGGTGCCAGCCCTACTTGTCGTAAAAGACGAGATACATAAAGGTTATCATGGAACATTCCGAGACATCGAAGAGCTCAAAAAATGGATAAACGCTGAAAAATACCCATTGGTCGCGGCACTAAACTCTGAAAACACCGAAGAAATATTAAGCGGCGAACGACTAGTCGCCTTGGGTGTTTTCGATCCGAAGAGCGGCAAGAGTTTCAATAAGGCTAAAACTGCGTTGAAAGCTGTTGCTCGAAGATACTTTTTGCTGGTTAAAAGACGTGGTGGGACAGAAGACGGGCGGTCAGTCATTTTTGCGTATATTGATGGTAGTAAATGGTCGGATTATATCAAGCGTGTTTATGGATTGAAGTCTACTGATTTACCGGCTGTTATAATCACGGATCCAACGGTATTATTTGTTTGTTTTTTTTACTATTATTTATGATTCTCGTTTCTGATATGTACTTTTTTGTTGAATAGAGTGAAGAGTATTACGATAAGACAAAAGACGGAAATCAATTAACCTTTGAAGAATTATTCGACGCTATTCATGATGTAAAGAAACATTTAATAAAGGGAACAAGTACAATGAATTTTATGGAAAAAACATTCAAGGTAATTAATCATTCGTGTGTTTTTAAAAATATTTATTAGTAAGAAAAACCCACATTTTGTCGTGATTTATTAGCAAATTTTTATACTGTTGCATTTCTTTTGTATATTGTTATTTGAATGGATTTGGATGCACTAATTTTCTATTATTTTTATTTTATTTAAATAAAGCACTCGTATAAAAAAGCATGGAACCATCCTTTCATCACATTGACGTTTATTGGAATCTCACTGGGTGGACTTTGGTATTCCTGTTTCTCAAAACCTGTTATTAGGAATGGAAGAGGTTCACCAGGGTATCCGAAATTCGAATAGTGACTTTACCAAGCGGAACTCCCCCCCCCCCCACTTTTAATCTGAAGGTTGATTTTCTTTTGTATTAGATTGCGAGATTCCTTTCGTGTTTTTTTATATGTATTGATAATGTTTTCTTGAGGAAAACTTTTTTTGGATTCTTTTCTTTTGATGTATAGTAAAAAATTTGTTTATGATTTTGGCATTTTCGGGGATATATCAAGTCAATGTGTTGTTGTTGATTAAAAAAAGACGTTTAATTTTCAGATCGACATACAAATCCAATCAAATAAGTTGAATCAAATTCTAAAAGAACAGTTTGTGAACTTGATATACAAAATAGACGCGTTTCCAGAAGCTAGTTTTTGATTGAATTTAACATTTGATTTCCTTATCACCAATAAACATTGTTTATAAAAATGGCTACTGCTGCTGTCTCTTCTACTACGACCAAAACCAAGAAACTTACTGACCAAGGTAAATGTTGAATGAACGTTATATTTTTTACTGCTTCATGAATCGAAGAAGGAATCATTGTTGTTTGGATATTCTATATTCATCATATCATAAATATTGATTCTGTGCAGAAATCACACTTCAGTATAATAATATGAAAAGTGAACTACAAACTATCGCACAAAAGGTGGGAGAATTAGAACAAGACGCCGAGGAACACAAGTGAGATGTTTTTCATTTAATTCTTGGTGACGAATGTTGCGGGAGATTAAATACGTCTTTCATCATCCGTTTTCTCTAGAGCCGTGATTGATACTCTAGTCCCACTAAGTGGGGATCGCAAGTGTTTTCGCCTGGTTGGCGGTGTGCTTGTAGAACGGACAATTAAAGAAGTACTGCCGGCTCTGAATATGAATCACGATGGTGTTAGTATAAACTGATTTGGATGATCACGTAAACGTAAAAGATTTTTCGTACTTAATAAACCGATTGTGATTTAGATTCGAAATGCAATGGATACACTTTTGGTGCAATACAAGAAAAAGGAAGAAGATTTTAACACGTTTCAAAAAGAGTATAATATTCGTGTGGTGTCTAGATAATCTATTAGTTATGATTTATGTGAAACGTACGATTCTTTGTTTTTCATTCAGTATGAGCTTTTCGGTTAGTTTATTTATTGCTTTTTAATTATAGAAAAAAATAAAGTAAATATCATGAATAAATATGTCATTAATAAATAAAAAGATTTATATCTATTAATACAATCAATACACGCGTAGATTTCAAAGAGAACTCGCCTCCTCTGATGATGACGATGATGTAATGGTAGCTGGATCAAGCTCCTCAAAACCAAACACATCTTTGAACATTTTCGCATCTTTTTCAAAAGTTCCATTCTCGATGGATTCGCGAATATCTTGAAAAAATTGTGCATACTGTAAAAGATTGTGACTATGATTTTCAAAAAAAAAAAAAAAAGATTAATTTTCCGGTTGGGATCAAAATGGTTAGTCATATTTAAAACACAGCACAAATATATACGAACCTTATCAATAGAATAGAACCAAGCATTTCTCGAGTGTCAACTAAATGATGAACGTATGCCCGAGAGTAATTCAGACAAGCGATGCATGTACACATCGGTACAAATGGACGAAAATCCTTTTTGAATTGTGGATCCAGCAAATTGATTGAACGGGGAATAGTATTACTGGTCGAACTGTTTGAAACCTCGAAATCGCTTTGATTCTGAGAATGTTTTAGTGAGAAGGTAAGCGCGTGTCCATTGTCAGCCATTTTTGTAGGATAACTAGTGTCAAAAAGATCGATACCCGCTGCGATTCCTGCAAGTACTCCATCTTTGTTATTGATAGCGTGGAATAATTAATATAGATGTTAAAAAAGTAGAACTCATAAATCTCAGCCCAAATTAAGATAGGAATATTACTAGCGTTAGGGTTAATGCTGGGAGATGGGTTAATGTTGGCCGAAAATGAGCACGTGAAGTGTGATCTGAGGCAAATCGATCTGAGGCACAACATATATGTAAAAAATGATATACCTGGCGTTCCTAATCCATAAGCAAGTCGAGGCTTATCATCAGGTAGACAATCAAGAGAAATTTTAAAAAGATCGATTCGTTCTTTCAAAGTTTTCCCTAGAGCAAGACCATGCAAAACGAATCCTAATAAAATGAAAATTCAATAAATTGCTACATAAAAATTATTATATTTAATCGAACAAAAAAGCTGACCCGTACCCGAAACATCACGCTTCATGGTTTCCTCGGCGGATCTCTTACGTTCCTCACGATATTGATTACCTGTCAGCGCTCCAAACACGTGAATGCCTTCCTGGATACGACGATCTACAGTAAGCTATTCATTCACTATCCTATTTGTTGTAAAGAAAAAAAAAGAGAGAAAAGGTTCTCAATGATAACATACCTTTTTACTATTCAAAAGTTCATCTAACCATTGCAACGTCCTAGTTACAGATTTTCTTACCCTATTCTGACCTGGCCTTTCAGAGTATAGTATATCTGCCATATTTGCCACGATATCCGGTTTATATATATTCATATAGTCGATGTAATCATCAGCTGTGATCTTAATTATTTACGGGTGAATTTAGCGCGGCATAATAGTATAGTTCAGATTAAGTACATGTATTATACCTTTCGTACTCCTTGATGCGTCCGCACAGATACATAATGATCAGTATTGAACGATGATGTCTGTATCTTGCTTGGATCTCGAATATCAAAATACACCAAAAAATCTTCAAGGTTCAAAAATTTATGTATGCCATCAGGAAATTTAATCGAGGGTGGTGGTTGAACATCTACACTACAAATTATCAATCACACACACATATCAAAAATTTATAAAATTAATATCCTTCTAATTAACTGATATCATTAATAAATATATGCAAACATACAATTGCTCTAAAGTCACTTGCACAGCACCAAACGGTAAATGACGCAAATTATCAGGAGTCAAGTGCGGCACTGAGCCTTTTGTCGTGTATAGAATGCAGTTGGGCGTTTTTATTGTTTTTTCGCGAAGCGTTAGTTTCCCTGGACGAATGGAATTTTCGGTAGTTTTCAGTATATTAAATGATAAAGTGTTCATTACTAACAAAGTGTCACAAAGACTAGCCGTTAAAACTTTAACCTGCCGACTCAATTTCCAAAAGTTATTTTGGAATTGAGTCAGCTGACGTTAAGGCCGGCATTATTAAATTGTAACCGGCCGGCCAGGTCGTAGGTCCCAATTCAGTAAAAATGATATTCCGGAAAATCCAAATAGCAAAAAACATGTATATCACACAGGTTAAAGTTTGGAGCATCCGTTCGGTTAATACAAAACGTTCTTAACACTAAATTTTTGTTCTCATTAATAGACATCATGGCAGGACCTAACCTCGAGTTATTTAAGGTAGTCTTTACTGTAAAGAAAAAATATAATAAGTAATCAAATTTCTAATTTCCTTGTTTTGTTTTTTATATGTGAAAAAGTTTGGCTTGTACGTTTTCTTCCCTATCGCAACAATGTACTATTTCGGGGACCCAAACTTTTATGAAAACCACGTCAAAGGAGTACATATTAACTTTTGAATAACATACTGTTTAGTTTAATAACGATCAATCAAATCATGACTTTTTATTTTAGATAAAATTCTGGCCAGAACAGACAAATGTAATAAACTTAACAATTTTTCATCTTGGAGTAATCTATAACAAGTTATTGATAAATTTTTGACGAATAGCATCCACCAACAACCAAGGATGATTTGCGAGCGGAATTTGCAAAACTGCAAGCACGACAAAATTTCAGAAAACCGGCCACAACCTCGAATGAAGGGTCGTCTACAACCCAACAAGACTAAATAATAATATAAGGAATGAAAGCTTTCTTTATTAATTAAACCTCGAATTCAAGTTCATTGTTTGGAAATAACAAGCCGTATTTGTACGTCTCGCCATTGAAAATAGTGGTGTGTAATGTTTTATATGATATTGTACTGATGTTTTATTTTCATATTAATCTATTTGTGAATAGAATAAATTTGATTTAAAGAAACAATTCACCTTCGTAAATTAAGTGTTTCAAATGGCAACAATTCTATATTTAATTGGAATAATACAGACTTTGTTGACGCGAAATCCATGACTTTATAAATTTCCCAAATTTCCAACTTACCTTTCAGAAACAAAAATACATCTTTGTATTTCAACAAAATCTTCAAGGGCTCACTTGCACCCCTAAATTGATAATGAAATTAACGTGCAACTGCGTTGATGCGGATGCGTTTTATCCAAAAAATCTTATCATTATTAACTAAATTAATCAATTTTTGATTTCTATTGGTTGACTAATCAAAGGATCTTAATTTTTGCGGAAAAACATCCAAACCAAATTTCATAAAAATTTATCGAGACACTAGATGCCAGAAATTCAAATTTCAATTATGAGCATTAATTCGACTATTTATTTACTAAAGAAAAATTCGAACCTTCAGGAGCCAACTTATATATATAGGTAGGTTTCGTAGAGTAGAACATTTTTAATTAGGGGTCCGAATTAGGTTTTTGTCTTAGGGAAAAAAAGTACTGTAGGTCGAAACTTACTACGTAATTGAAAATTTTGATTTAATTAAAAAAAAAAAACGACTAAAATAATTTTTTTTAAAACTAGAGGTTTCAGGATTTAAATGAATACTTGTTTATTTTGTCTATATTAATATTGAAGAAGATAAAAATTTTTATGAGTGTTACGAAAATGTGAAAAATTTAGTTTTTAAATGATTGGGGGGGGTTATGAGAAATCGAATCTGTGTGAGCATTGACTTCCGATGGATAAGAAGATCCTCAACGATTTCACTTGCATCAATTTCAGAGACTTCTGGTGCCAATTCACAGTAAAGCCCGAGCTCGGGCGAAACCTTTATTATCAATACATATACTAATGCGGAGTGTGACTTTCACTCAACCACGAACTTAGTATATAATTCCGAAATCAGGCAAAACTTTATTAACCTAATACAGTCAAACCTGGATATAACGAAGCACTAATTAAACCTGGATAAACTCTAAGAACATTATAGTAAATTCACCTTGATAAACCGAATTTACTAAATAAACCTCGATAAACCGAATTTTACAGAATTTTTTGCTAACAGCCCGAACACTTCGTTATATTCAGGTTTGACTGTACGCTAATTGAAAATCCATTATTTAGATTGTGACCTCGAAAGTCACAATGTCACACTATCTTCACTATTATAAAAGGAGATTTTGAAAGATAGACTCAAAATATATATTTGTAAAAATAATGATTTAAATAAAAGAGCAAATCTAGATAAAATGCAGAACCACTATAATTACAGAATCGCACTGGCGTGTTCTTAAATACAATTACAAGTATAATTGTAATTGGCCACATCTAGATCACCTGATACAAAACTTACAAAAGAATACAAAACTTACAAAAGAACTGGTTTCAGACATAAAGAACACTTGAAAAAAGTTTTGCAATTACTATGATTTCCCATCATGGTGAGATCTGTTTAAGTGTGATTGAAACTCTGCTATAGAAAATGATATGGTGCATAAAATCTAAAGTCATCAAACGTTTGTATTTTATAACATGTATTAACTTCTTTACTAAGAAGTAAATACAAAATTTAATCCGTGAATATAATAAAATTGGCCTTTTCTGAGCATATTCATGGTTTACTTCTTAGTAAAGAAATTAATACATTTTATAAAATACAAACATTTGATGACTTTAGATTTTATGCACCATATAAGTACAGAAGACAAATATCATACTGATGTGAATATTTGGATTTGCTCTTGTTCTGTCTTCATAATAAACTTTATTTTATATATAAACACCTAACAAAAAAATATATTGCAGAAAATCTGGCTTTCTTTTCTTGTTTTCTTGTCATAATATGATACTATGATTACCTGTTTATTGCTTTTAATGAAACAAGCCTTTCGAAAATAAAATATTCTACAAAATAATATTATAGAAGAATCTGAGCATGAAGTGGTATAATTATAGTCTATATAGATTATAATTATATCACTTATATTAGATTATAACCATACCTTATAACGGGTGGACTATAAATACCCCAAGAATGACATGCATTTTGATTTTATATCACATCTTCAGGGTATTTATAGTCACAAATTAGATGACGTATAAATTGAACTTGTCACGTCACTCAAGAGTCACTGAGGTATACATATAATGTACTGCGACTTGATGATCCTGGCTGATTTCCGTCGTTGGATCATATGTGATATACTGTATATCAGTTTATTAATCGTGGTCGATTTCTATCATCAGACCACATGCGACATATCGTATGTTGGTTTCTCGATTGAAATCAATTTCCGTTACTATGATACACATGAACTATCGAATGCTGGTTTGAAAATCGTGGCTGATTTCTGTCATTATATCACATAGACAAAAAAATATATCTGCTAATACATTCAATTATGTGTCATTATTTGTGGGTCTGATGTGAGGGCTATGCCTGAACCTGGCACGTAGTGCCTTAGCTTTCTAATTAATTCTTCTATGAGAGCCAGGTTTGAGGCACCTAGTGCCAAAATAGTATTCATGATCTTTATATAATTCACTCGAATATCATCCGAGAATGAGGCACGTAATGCTGAATGTTATTTATCATATTGCATTCGAATATTGATTAAGGTTGAGGCATGTAGTGCTGAATTGCTAACATTTATTTCATATCCATCCAAAGCATAATTTTATATTATATATATATCTGTAATAATTTTACCTTGACCAGACACCGATTTTCTTCGAATTATACCTGACGATACATTCAATTTCATGTCCATCCAAAGCATAATTTTTTATTATATATATCTGTAATAATTATATCTTAACTGAACACCAATTTTTTCTTTGAATTATGTAGTTAAAATAGTATGCTTTGTATTTAATCGCCCTTTCTATAATAATTATATCTTGACCGGACACCAATTTTCTTCGAATTATACCTTGACTGGACACTGATTTTTCTTCGAATTATGTAGCTAAAATAATATACTCTTCATGTCTATAATAATTATACCTTGACTGAACACCGATTTTCTTCGAATTATATTACTAAAATCATATATACTTGGTATCTGTCCAAAGTACAATCACCCTTTCTATAATAATTATACCTTGATCAGACACTGATTTTCTATCAAAATTACACCTATTTGATATCTGTCCAAAATACAATTTTATAATATTAGTAATTACCAAAAACAGTTATATAGTGACTATATCTTGACTAGACACCAATTTTTTTTGAATATATATGTATTATTTACTGAAAAGTGCACCTCGATCAAAATTCCACAGCACAAAAATGATTATCGATTAAATTATTTTATCTATATACCTCTAGCACTTACATGAAATTTTACCTGGCAGATACGTGAATTGAGCAAGATGTCCATCCACCGGGACCCAAAAACTCTCTTTATATGATCCAGGTATCGAAATATTAATTTTTGATTTGAATTTTTTCTCACACTTACAGTAAGAGTCGACAAAAATCCCCTTACCCGAATGTATAACTAGTCGAATGTAGCAATCTCTCTTCTCCAGAAATTACTACTTAACTAAATAATATTATCTTGATACCTTATACTTGCTTTGTTGAAAGATTTATAACAATTATCCATATTCAATGAGAGCCAAAAATTTATTTTTCAGCTCTTTTTTATATGGTGTAATGGGAACTTTCACTTTAGCCTCATATATTCCAAGAAATCAGCCTCACTCATACTCTCGTGCTCTTTTTTCTAGTAATTCTGATTATCTCTCATTTCAAAAGCAATCTTAGTTCTCCATTGTTCTAACTTTTCTTTCAACATTTGGAATTTTTGCTGTACAAGAAGAATAAGGGTTTCTATATCAGATTCATTTCTAATAAGAAATTCTGAAGACAGAGAAATTAAGGATTCAGATAACTCTTTCTTAACTTCAGTAATGCTTAAGAATTGCTCGGAATTATTTGATTGATCTTGAGTCAATACTATAGAGAATAATTGTGGCAAATTTGTTACAGATTTTTCAACTATGTTAACGTAAGAACTCTTTTCACAAACCTCATTGCTGGATTTTGAAATGGCTATATCAGTAGTAATAACAGAGCTAGTGTCAAGACACATGGATATTGAATCGAAAAGTTCTTGAGTTTTATCAATTGATTCTGGCTTGTATGGTGAAAGTGTGGGAGTATATATTCTATTGAAATCAACTTCACCATACGGTTTGCGACTAATCCAGTAAGTTTTCTTCCTTACTTGATTAGTTCTTGGACCTACATGAGTTTCTTCACTCCTGACAGTATAATCGCACCAATTACCCATTACTGCATTAATAAATTTTATTGTAATATTAAGATCTGGTGTTCCTTTAGCTCTGGTCTTAAAGCCAAAGAGTAACAATGCATCTTCTCAAATTTTGACGATTTGTTCCCGTGATTGTTTGAAAGCTTTTGCTATATCATCACCAGAAAGAATATTTGTATCATCTATATCTCTAAAACCTATAGATTGGACAAGATTATGTATCGCTTTCCACTGTTTTGCTGAATAAAATTTATGTAAATCAACTGAGAACGGATCTATAGATTCATGTGAATCTTCCACTGCATTTCTTCTTTGATTTTTAGATTCTCTATAGAATTTGTTGTATTAGAACCTTGTCTTCTGAAATATGCCAGTCCTCTGAAATGGTTTAAAGGTTCAGGATTATTGAATCTTATCATGAAAGATTTATCACAAAGCTTCATTATTCATACCCCAATTCTGAATATCATATTTACCTCCTATATCA